AAAACTGAAATACAACTAAAAATTGGTGGTGGGTACATGCATCCAAATGATGCAATTTGAAAATGAGGAGATACAGGTGGAGAGAAGTGAATGGTATGTACCTTATCTCACAATGCCAGAGACTCAACAATCCTGAAAGTCACATTCTAAAGTCTTGGTCTTTTAGGAGTTTTACTGCCCTGGGATCAGAATGACAAAACAATATGTTGGTGTAATGAAGATCTTTGAGTATTGAACCTCCAGGGATATAAAGACTAAATAGCCTGTGAAATGTTAGTTAAGAGCACTACCTCCGTAAGGAGATAGAACACATCATCTTTTTCCCAAAGCTGACTGTTTTTATACTAGAATTTCACCCAGACCGTCTGTCTTTCCTGATGTCAGATCTTTTGTCTTCCACATCCAAAGAAACTGCCAGACATCATTTATCAAGGATGTCAGTCAGGTAACCTAAAGTCTCCTACTTCAAATTTAAAAAGGTTGAAGGTTGTTTTATCACACTTATATCTAGGAGAATGATTTGTGTAAATAAAATACATGCTGTGGATGAGTGGAAGCAAGTTTCTTTGAGAATCTAGTCATTTTCTTGCCAGGTGTTCATTCATCTTTGCATCAATAACAAAGCTATTTTGTTAGTGTCTTGTTCATTCTCTAAAATTGTAAGAATGATTTTCATGTTGAGAAATAATGTAGTCAAGCATGATGATTGATAAACAATTTTTTGACATTGACTTGCATTCTTGTGGGAATTGTGATAGAGACAGGTTTGTCAATTTCATCTCATATTCCTGATTTAGTACATCTTTGTATTCTCTCTACAGTCAAACTCTGAATTCAGGGAAAGGACTTGGAGATCCAGATAAACTCATTAAATTTCTATTCAATTAGAGCAGTTCTAAAGTGCCATGCATTCCACTAGAAAAAGATGAGGTTTTCTACTCCTGTAAAAATTTGGAGTCTCAAAAATCCAATACTGGTAGCCGTGAGCCAGAATCAACTCCATGACACTCAATCATCACCACTACCATAGATAAAAAATATTAAATATTTGTATTAATCATAATATAACAGATCTTGTAATGAAAAAATGACCACCATTTTTGTTCTAGAATAAATAAGTCCTGGTGTGGCATTGTGTGTTAATATGCTGGACTGCAAGGTTGGTTTGAATCTCAAGGTTGGCATTTCAAGCTCACCAGCCATTCTTGGAAACCCTATACAGGATCATTATGAGTCAGAACTGACTCAATGGCATTTAACAACAAAAATCTTCAATAATATAATCTTAGAGTCTTATTTTGTCTGTATCATGAACAAGTAATATACATGCAGAATGTATCTTTTTGTGTTCCACTCCATCCTCTCTTCTTTCCAAAGTTAATGTCTGCCTCTGATAATGCTGTTGGTGTTGCAGATGGGTCAGGAACCACACATTTAATTATCTTGTAACTTCATCTTTCTCTCAGATTCATCAACAGCTTAGAACCCAGAAACCAAACAAGTATTTCACAATTCTTTCTCATGGAAATGACAGAGGATCCAGAATTGCAGCCCCTCGTCTTCATCCTATTTCTCACCGTATACCTGGTCACTGTCCTAGGAAATGTACTCATTGTCCTAGCTGTATGCTTTAACTCCAACTTGCATAACCCCATGTACTTCTTTCTGTCTAATCTGTCCTTTAATGACGTCTGCTTAAGCACAACCACCGTCCCTAAGATGCTGGTGAACATTCTGACAAAAGATCATAGCATCAGTTATAAAGGCTGTCTTAACCAGATTTTCTTTGTCATGACTTTTGCTCCTTTTGAAAATTTTATCCTTGCAGTAATGGCCTATGACCGTTATGTGGCCATTTGTCACCCATTGAGATATACTGTCATCATGAATTCGTACTTCTGTGGTCTGATAATTCTACTTTCATTGTTCATTAGTATGGTGACTGCCCTACCTCACAGTCTTATGGTGTTGCATCTGTCCTTTTGCACAAACTTGGAAATCCCTCAATTCTTCTGTGAACTTACTCAGGTCCTTAAGCTCGCCTGTTCAAGTACTCTCATCAACAATATCCTGATATACCTTGAGGCTTTCTTAGTTGCTGGTGTTCCTCTTTCTGGGATCATATTCTCTTATATTCGGATTGTCTCCTCTGTTTCAAAAGTGTCATCAGCATTCGGAAAGTATAAAGCTTTTTCCACCTGTGGGTCTCACCTCTCAGTTGTGTCTTTATTCTATGGGTCAGCTTTTGTTGTGTACCTCAGTTCTCCATTTACACATTCTCCCAAGAAGACAGCTTTAGCTTCTGTGATGTATCTTGTATTCCCTCAAATGATGAATCCTTTTATCTACAGCCTGAGGAATAGGGACATAAAGACAAGCTTTAGGAAAGTCCTTGGTAGAATATTTTAACAGTGGTTTTATATGGTTATTAAATATTTGACAATCATCAATGAAGAAGCTTTTGCTGCTAGCAATTCAAAAAATCTTAGACACTGCTGTGCTTAAATAACTCAAATAATTTAATGTGCTATATTTCATTACAAAAATTTCAGAAGTATACAAGTAATGGGAGCTGAAAAGGATGACTTTATAAGTTTTGCATGTGGCGAAATTTTTGTAGGACTTATTTTCCTCTTTACCATGGTATTATTGTTGCAATTGTAATACCACACATGATACTCAGAAGGTGAAATTTTACTGTCCTTCCTGGGCCTACTGTTATTAGACTTTCAAATGAATCATCAAAAGACTTGCCATCCATAATGGGTTAGTTATCACCCCCAAATTGTTATTTCCACATCCTAATTTTGGAACAAATAAATATTACTGAAAAGATAAGTGATGACAGTTTCCTTAATTGGAAAAAAAAAAAAAAAGTATCTTTGCAGAGAATATTAAGCTTAAATTATTCTGATAGG